GAGAGGGGAGCAGGGGGCCAGGGGAGTGTCTTGACTTGCCTGTGTGTATGTGAAAACGCACACAGCTTAATAGCACACACAAGGGTGGCTCCATAGGACCCTTCAAGGGAAAGGATCCACCCTAAAACAGGATATCAGGACCGGTGCTCTGGGGACCAGCTGATTCTGCAGGACACTAACATTTTTAAACGAAACAATCGGCATTTGAAATAGTGTAAAAACGTTTTGACTTTAATGTCATTTTAAATCTAATTCACAAATGAATTACAGCTATAACTAGGCTTGTCCAGCGTGCACTGAAGGTTATGTGTGCCATTGATTTACATGTAGTACGGAGCTTGTGTTATTCTCATGTTCTCTGTTATAACCGATTGCCCATTTTATTACTTCCAGGATGCAGACCTTTATGGCACTAGGTTTCTTGATGCTTCAAGAACATACAATTATTCACATCAGTATTTGCAGGTAAACCGTTATCTGTAAACATTAATAGTCCGTCTTTTACATCAATCAAAATGTATGTTTGTTTCCTAGTTATGTACTTGAGAAGAACAATAGCTGCACTGAAGCAGAACAATGGCAGCCTGTGAACAACTCATTGAAGACTTGTTTTGTCTTCATCCCTTCCAGTGGGATACCCTGTAACTAGACTGGCCCCGTTCACATTGAGCGATTTATCGCGCGATTTTTGCAGCGATATCGCTCATATTTCCCCGCTATATCGCTCTATGTAGCTTCACCAATACATTTCAATGTAGCTGTTCACAATATCGCTCAATATCGCTTGTAGCTCGTCGCTGGTAGCTGATTGCATACAGCCCAATAGGAAGAAGTCGCGCGATTTCCATGTCGCTCAGTGTGAATGGGGCCTACATGTGCGATGATATGATAGTTTGCAGGAGAAAAATACATCTGGACCCTGGCTGCTAAGGAGCCACAGTAACCTTCCCTGGTTTTAATGGACTAACCCCCATGATTTCTAAAAACTGAAGCAACAGTGCAGTTGTGGCCAACGGAAGGAATGCTAGCTGGTTGCAGCAGCTCCATATTACTGCAGCTGGCTCCAGTTTGCACATATTCACTCAAACTGGGTTTAGCCAAACCCAGACTAAAATGAGTATTAACCCACAGCAACCACAAGTCAGTTTACTGAATTCAGATCAGTGAAATTCAGAATTCAGATCAGTGAAATCTGGTGATGAAAGATCACTGCACTTAGTACACTAAGGCCAATCTATGTCCAACAGTCCCCTAGATATTCATTTAAGAGTGGAACTATGCAGGGCTGGTGCTAGACTATTTTGCACCCTAGGCAAGACCAGCTACTTGCACCCATCAGCCCCCCTCCCACGGCGCAACTCCCAATCCCGCCTTCGCATTTCCCCTTTCACCTGCCGGCTATCTTCAGCAGGTCACAGCTGGATGTAAGCAGCCGGGAGCAATAGCCAGATTGTTATTAGCTATTTAAGTTTTAAAAATGCCAATAGCAGAATGGCTATTGAAACCCCACCCAGTGAGCAAAGGAGCGGACCTAAGAAATACAGTTGTCTCTCATTTCTGCTTCTCTGCTCAGTGGGCGGGTGCAATAGCCAGCCTGCTATTGGATTTTGCAATTTGAAAAAGACGGGGGAAGCCATGGGAAGGTGAGAGTTTGAAGCTGCGCCCTAGGCAGCAATGCGCCCTAGGCAGCTGCCTAGTTTGCCTAGTGGCAGCACCGGCCCTGGAACTATGGGCTAAATGAAAAATTACGTGTATCTTCTAGCCTGTCATTAACATGAATGCTGCAGATTGTTCTTCCTGTAACATTAACAGTTGTTCCTCTAGATCCATGGATTTTCCACCTCCTTCAATGGGGTGACAACATTGTTCTTTCTGCAGCAAAATTGCCCAACAGTTTTGAAACCTTGTGGACAAGGACTTGGTCTTAGCTGCACATGTAGTTATAGATGGACTTAAGGAAAGGGACAAACAGATTAAAGCCCAACTCCTGGTAAACACTTCTTAAGCATTCAGTGGCGTAACCAGAGTTCTGGGCGCCCGGGGCAGAATTTTTTTTTCGCCCCCCATTATATAAACAACCACTGGAACTGTACCCTGCACCTCCCCCCCACACACACGTTTTTATTTTAATTTTTCAAATTTTAATATTTTATTTTTCTAGAAACTTTTTCATTTTTTTAAATTCATTTTTATTTATTAATTAATTTTTTATTCAATATTTTTATTTTTTACTTTACTTTTAGGGGCTTCGGGGAAATATTGGGGGTCTAAACAGACCCCTGATATTTCCCTTTAAAAATAGAAAAAGAGATTGAGGACACAGAGTCCTCAATCTCTTTTTCTGTGTCCCCTGTTATCAATGAACAGGAATCCTTTATGAGTGTTCCTGTTCATTGATAACATGGTATGTTTACTATAACTACAATTATGAATGAACAGGAGGAGATGTAGATCACTCCCGTTCATTCATAATTGAGGATATAGTATACATACCAGGTCCTCAATTATGTACAAACACTCAGCGATCACTGATCGCTGAGTGCTTGTACCCGTTCTCCTCTCTGACACACACTGTCATAGGAGGCTGCAAGAGGAGAGCCCAGCCTCCTGTGACAGCGCTGGCTGTCTCCGCCCCCACACCGCTCTGCTGCACTGTGATAGGCGGCCGAGCGGTGTGGGAGGAAAGACACCGGCCGCTCACAGCGCTCGTCCCGCAGCGCTCGGCCGGCTGTCATTTTCTCTCTGATTCCTTTCATCCCTGCTGGGCACTGCTCTGTGTCCCAGCGGGGATGAAAGGAATCACGGCCGCGCCGACAAAACGGCAGGAAAATGTCACTTTCGGCATTTAGCCGAAAGTGCCATTTTCGGCCGGCGCCCCCCCTTCACTTTTCGCCCGGGGCCCGCGCCCCTGCTGCCCCCCCCGGTTGTTACGCCACTGTAAGCATTTACAGTAACCGTTTCTTTTTCCTTTTGAAAAAAAGGTTTAAAGAAAGACTCTGGGTAAAAGTTTTATTAACCCTTGTACCATAGAAAATAAAACCTATTATAAGGACCCCCGGCAGTATTGCAGTATGGCACTGTCTATTTTGCTGGACAGCTTGGTCTACATATGGGGATGAAAATAAATAAAAGCATGTGAAACGCAAAAACAAATTGATATCCTTAATATTATAAATACAGTTACCAGAATACAAACTGTTTCTCTCTAGTGGTTCTTTAACCAATTCTGGACCGCCCACCGTAATAAAGCGTCCTGGTCCTGAAGTGGTTATACCACGAACACAGCTTCTACTGCAACCATGTTCTTGGTATCATTTTAAACAGCAGGTGACTGCTGTTTATATACAAGCAATCCAACGGCTGTAGAGCCATTGGATCGCTTGTACAGTGCGGCGCTGTGTGCCTTTCCCCCTTCCGCCGGCTTCCCCGGGCTTCAATGTCCCCCCGTGCGGGGGGACATCACTTCTGGTGTCGCTGTGTACATTCTCCGGCTCTTAGAGCTAGGAGAAGAAGCTGGGGATGTGGGTCTCTGCTTCCTCAGCTTCTTTGGGGTACCTAGGTGACAGGGGTCTGAAATACCCCTGATGTCTCCATAAAGAGGACCTGCCACATTATTTTTTGCAGTTAGGGGGATTCCTAGCCCCCTATGTGATGGCAATAAAGTTGAGTGTAAAAAAAGTTATTGTCACACATGTTACATATCGTCGCAAACGTCAGAGTGAGACCAATAATTCTAGGACCATCAATCACTGGTAACACTGAACTGATGAGCAGTAAAAAGTTTTTGAAGCGTCGCCTATGGGAAATTTTGGTTCTTGTAGTTTTGTGCGGTTTCCCAGATGCACGCATTTTTAAGGCTTGACATGTTTGGTATCTATTTACCAGGCGTGACCCTGTCTTGTATATTTTCCCCAAAAAATTGGGTATTATATTCTGTTTCTGTGCACTCAATTTCATTTTAGTGAATTGTATCCTAAAAATTCTAGTTTGAATAACATTTGCGCAAATACCGTGCGACCATAAAAAATTGCAACTGGCATTTTTTTTATTCTACTGGGCCTCCGCTTTCAGGAAATATATAATTGTTTGGAGGTTGGAGTTTGAAGCTGTATTCTATGCCAAAAATTCGGATGTTATCAAGTGTGTGCAAATAGTAAGAGCGTGCTCTGGCAAGG